GGACTCCACCATGGTGTTGAACTGGGGTCCGAACAGCCCGTCCGGGCTGATTGGAGCGTCCAGTAGCATTTTTCTGGCCGTCACCTAACGCCCGCAGCACTGTGGTGACGGAGAGGGGGAAAGCATGTTCGGCCGCCAAGCTGGCACCCTGCTCCGACTCTGTCTCCCCCATTCGGGGGAGAGGAGGGAGGGGAGAACCGAACGGTAAACCGTGGAGGGAGGCGGGGCAGGAGTTGTCGGACTCCTGCCCGGCACTCGACCCAGGGACACTCGGCCCCAGGGACACTCGGCCCCGGGCCAATCGTCCTCCTCGGCCACAGCAGCGTCCGCTCTCCGCTTCCTGTCGCCCGAGGGGAGACGGGCGCAGTGTGTGCATGCTACCTACTGGTTTAAAGCCGCGTATGCGTGCTCTGACCCCAGGCAGGATTCGCATACTGCTTTTATCTCTGCTGGTCATAACTCATTATGAACCCAGAGCCACATGAGGGACAATCTCTCACACAATTTTTACTCATGTTTACTCTGCAATTGAAGTGTCTCTTGTGCTTCAGTAACAGTGTGCTGAAGAAAAGAGGGAGGTGATTGTCGGGCCTCCTTCCTATTTATACCGGGAGGGAGCCCGAGGGTGGGGCCCACCTTGCGGGTGGGCGTGGACTACAAGTGTTTCAGTGCTGCGTGTGCAGGGGGATTACCCAATCGCGATAGCCTTAGAGGGCGAAGCCATATACGAAATAGAATTTGTGTTTACATTGTTAAAGCTCGAAGTATATGACACATTTCATCATCAAAATCCTTTTTTGATGATTCTGCAGCTTCCCGTCCGGTGTGTGGACAATGCGGATGGATTTCCTCGTTTGATCGTCTACGGTGATGAAACATTCGAAAGTGTAGGCTCAAAATCTATTTAAATACAAGTGCTTTAATTTGAACTTTTCTATGGAGCGCATGTTAAGTTTTGTTTCTCTTTTTCTTGCATGGCCAGGATGCGGTGCAGCAGCATGCTACTGGAGAAGGCCCCTACAGGTGGGCAGCGATGCATAGTTTGGTACAGATGCTGTTAAGAAGCTGATCATTCAGACACATATAGTATTTTTTGAAATATAGTAACCAAACTTTTGACCTTGTATGAGTTTGTACTGCCTTTTTGTATTCTCTATGACCACCCATGTTTCTGATAGAGGCCTCTGCCACATTTGTTCAAGCAATGTTTCTTTAGATATATTCTCATTAATATCTGATATTACCAAAGAAATAACAAATAACCAGATTTTTTTCCTCTCTCTCTGTAGTACTGTGTGACCTTTCCAATCTGGACGCTGCTGGTTCGAGTGCCGGGTTGGACAGAATGTAGACGAGTACTAGTAGTACAAGTACCCCAAGGTGCCTCCCATGGCGTGGCCAACAGTGTTTGAATGGCAGCTTCAATGAGCAGGTGGCCCTTGTATGGCAGCCCCTGCCTCTGCATGTTACTTGTTTCATTTCAAACCTTTATTTATGCAGGTGAATCCCATTGAGATCATTGATCTCTTTTTCAAAGGTGACCTGCTGCAAGTAGTGCTTGTTAGGCCTTCACGTGTACAACTGTGCATATCACCATTCAAACAGGAAACACATGGAAAATGTTGATAATTCAAGAGTTATAATTTATTTTGTATATTGATTGTTGTGCTTTTATTTAGGTCTAATGTGTACATATAAATGTGTCTTTTGATTGTGTGTATAGGTATATACATATTTGTATATATATTTATTTTTGTATTCGGGATTGTGGGAAACGGTATTTTGATCTCTCTGTCTGTACAAACAAACTGAGAGATTGACAATAAAGTTGACTTTGACTAGTTATGGGTACATTTCGAAACCCATAATTCTTTACTTTTACTTGAGTAAAGAAGTTTAGTCAGTACTTTTACCAGAGTAGTTTTAAACAGGAGTATCTGTACTTCTACTTGAGTAAAGGATGTGTCTACTTTAGCCATCTCTGCACTTCTGACAGGTGATTTTTCTATTGAAGTTTTTTATCCAAAACCTTTAAGTTATTTTAAATTTAAAAATGTTTAATATTTATATGCTACCTCTGGCTTAAATTATTTTAAAAAAGCGATGTAAGCTATCACATCTATGCAGACAACACCCAGATTTATTTTAAAATCACACCAGGAGACTATCCTCCGATTAGAACACTGAGCAAGTGCATTAAGCACTCACTGGATGAATCAGAACTTTCTCCAACTGAACAAACAAAAAACTGAGATCATTGTTTTTGGAGCAAAGGAGGACCGATTAAAAGTAATCGCAGAGCTTCAGTCGGCAGACTACAAAACCACTAATAAAGCCAGAAATCTGGGTGTAGTGATGGACTCAGACCTGAATTTCAACAGCCACATTACAACAGTCATAAGGTCTGCTTATTATCACCTAAAGAACATATCGAGGATTAATAAACTAATGTCACAACAGGACTTAGAAAAGCTTGTCCATGCTTTTATTTTCAGTAGACTCGACTACTGCAATAGTGTATTCACAGGGCTGACAAAAAAATCCATCAGCAAACTGCAGCTGATTCAGAACGCTGCTGCACGTGTCCTCACTAACACTAAAAGAGTGGATCACATCAGTCCGGTTCTGAAATCTCTACATTGGCTTCCAGTCGGCTAAAGAATTGATTTTAAAGTACTATTGCTAGTTTTTAAATCATTACATGGTTTAGGACCAAAGTATATTGTTGAACTCCTACATAATTATGAGCCATCAAGGTGCCTCAGGTCTTCTGGGATGGGTCTGCTATCGGTTCCGAGAGTAAAAACAAAAAATGGAGGCAGCATTTAGCTATTATGCCCCGACACTCTGGAATAAACTACCCAAATCATGCACGTCCGCAGAAACGCTTACTATTTTTAAGTCGAGACTAAAAACATATCTCTATGCCGCTGCTTTTAATTGAGCTGCTCATATTCGCACTACAGTATGCCTTTTAAACATGTATTGTATACCTGTGGTGTTTATTTTAATTATTTTATTATCTTTGCTTTGTAATGCCTGTTGTGAAATGCCATTATATAATGTGTTTTTACTGTATTTATTCCTAAAAAGTATTTTAATTTGTTTTGTAAAGCACTTTGAATTGTCACGTACAGAAAAGTGCTATATAAATAAACTTGCCTTGCCTTAAATGTGTTAAATTATTTCAGTATGTATGCTGCTGGAAACAGTCCCCTGTTGTGAGAACAAACCACAACAAATATGTGTGTGAGAAGTTTAGCTACTACACATTGTGTCAAATAAATAGATAAACTGAAAAATAATGATGTACTAACATAAAAAGACATAACTGTTGGTGCTTTGTTTTTTTGTGATACCATGATGTACTAGCCTAAATAAACAATGTAGATTCAAATGTATTCAATCCTCACCTTGTCATCATAAGGGAACAGCAACAGATCCGGAGTCAGTGTAAATTGAGAGCAGAAAAAACAATTATTAGATAAATGATCCAATTTAAAAAAAAAAAAAAACAGGTTTACACAATAACATACATGACTTTCTTAATTTAGGGCAGGCTATAACTTCGTTTATTAATCAGTATGCTCACTGTGGGGTCGAGTGAACGAAAAAAACTTAAATGAGAAGGTAAGATGTTAATAAAAAACAATAATTGATACACTAAACTATATTTTATATATATATAGAGAGAGAGAGAGAGAGAGGTTTTGAACTGCTCTGATCAGAAGTATCACTATAATATAGCTTAATCTCTACAGTTTATACTTACATTTACCAGACAGCAACCCAATGTGCTCACACTGGTCTTCTTCTTCTTCTACAGACTCACTTGCAGTAAGGTGCCACAAATAGCTTACTCTGCCCCCTACTGGCAAGTGCTATAATTACAGCTCTAAACAAAAGAGCTGAAGTATGAATAGTATAATTAAAGTAAATGCTACATTAAAGAAAAAGGGCACGTGATTTAATAAAATGTTTCCGATGCTACACTAGAAACATGGAAAACAATATCCTGCTCTATACCAATAAGAAATGGTACATATATATAAATAACTTCAAAATAAAATAAACTTAACTAAGACAAACAGTGTTATTATTAACACAGTAGTTAAAAAGATGAAGTACCCGTTAATAATGTAACAATAATAACAATGTAAAATGACATCACGTGCACGAGAATGACTGATCTTTGTTGCAGTTTGATTTAAAGCAAACTGTTAAAAAAGTTATACATTTCAACTAAAACTGGATTTAAACATACAAACCGAAATATTTGAAAACATGAAAAGAAGAACCAAAATGTATCAGTGCACTTAAAAACTTTATTATAAAAATGAAACAGCAGTTGCATAGAATAGAGCTGGTGAATATCAATGCTCCGTTATTAAATTTCTCTTTTTTAAATCAGGAACTATAAAAAGGCCTTACAATGGGACTTTAGAGACATTAAAAGCAGCGGTGCATTCCTGCCCAGACAAATTCTTTTGTTTAAAAATACACCATACAAATACTGTATGAACAACACTGAAAACATAACATTACACTGTACTTTTGCAAAACTGTACCAAATTCCTTCACAGCGATCGCTGTAACACAAATATACATTCAAGCTTCCCAACAAAGACAAACGTAACAGAAACAAGTTCATTGTGAGATAAAGTTTCCTACAAGAACAATATATTAGACAAACAGAAAATAAAAACGAAAATAAGTCAGTAGCTGCAATCTGTTTGAGAGGCACATCTGTGGGAGCTAAAATCAGAGGAGGGGGTGTCAGACGTTCTGGGGTCCGATCAGCAGGATCAGAGGTGGAGGCGGCCCTGGCTGCGTCTGATATGGACCGGAATCTGAAACAGAGGCAATGGATTATTACAGCTGCGGACAGAGGTGTGTGTGGGAGTGTGAGGAGTGCGTCTATGGGAATCTAACCTTGGGTATATCTGGGCTGCCGAACGGCGAGAGTTCCAGTGAGTTCTCTTTGTCGGAGGAGTCGTTGTGGCGATGCTGAGCAAACTTTCTCTTCAGCGCTTCAGCGATAAGAGCCGCTGGGTCGCTGAGCAGAGCGGGGCCTCCCTTACTGCGCCGCCTTCTCACCGGAGTGCCCCCCGGGGATCTAAGAAGGACAGAGGAGGAACGTTTTAGAGACACAGAAAAAAAAAATCTAAATAAGACAATAAACGATGGGTACTTTCTGAGAACATTCTGCCACATTGGGACATAAAGCATCATAATGTAGGATATTGTTATAATATGGGACACCCATATTCAGAATCAATCAACAATCAGAAAAATTAAATTGCAGTTGCTCCATTTTAAATAATAAAATAAAATATACATATTTGTTTATATTTAATTGAATACAAATGTTAATATAAACATCAGAAATAAGAATGTAATATAAAAAAAAAAGATTTAAATGAAAAAAAACATAATTATATAAACCTAAGAAGTTAAAAGTAGGTCTAACTAAATTATAAAATAGAATAAAAATATAAAAAAGAAAAATGTGCATGTTGTACTTCAATTCAAAACATGTTTTTTACAGCATATACCTTGGATTTTAGTGGTAGATTTAACAGTTTTTAAGGCTTCGGTTGCTCACCTGTTGACCGAGCGCAGTTTGACTTGAGTTAAGTCCTTGAGGACATCCAGCATGGACGGCGTCCCTTTAACGTCTGAGTCCTGGGGTTTGAGTGGACCCTTGTTGAGGTTTTTGTCGTTGTCCCTCCGCCGGCGGATCAGCTCTACGACAGACGAGGACTCAGCGGTGGAGCCAGGGCACGAGGGAGGGGGAGGTGGTGGTGGAGGAGGAGGGGGACGAGGAGCAGAGCAGCGAGGCGTGGAGGTGAGGGGGGGCGGAGACATCAGAGGACTTCCCGGGGTACTCTGGGTCTCAGACAGACCTTTTAAACACATTGAAATAACACAAGGATGTTATTCACGCGTATAACATGCCAACAGTGGTGGAATGTAACCACGTACATTTACTCAAGTGCTTGAGTACAATTTAAGTACTTTCACTCTTCTTTATTATTAACGTTTTTTGCCACTTTATACTTCTACTCCTTTTTTAACCAATTATTTTTTATATTTGCAGTTACTTAAAAAAATAATAACATGATGTGTTTATGATACTGTGTATATGTACAAAAAAAACTTCAAGAGCCATTCTGCATAATGAGTATTTATATTTGATACTTTAAAGGTCCCATGGCATGGCCATTTCTACTGATCATAATTCCATTGTTGAGGTCTACTAGAATAGATTTATATTGTGCAATTTTCCAAAATCACATTGGTTTCTCATACAGCATCTCTGTATAGTATGTGTATTCAATCTCTGTCCTAAACGGCTTGTTGGAGCTCCTGCCCACCCCTCCCCATGAGCCCATTGTGCTCCGATTGGTCAGCTCGCCCACTATGTTCTGATGAGTCCACCACCGTTACAGCGGAACATCAGTGATTATGTGTTACAATGGCGTTAGCAACCAGAAAATGACACCAGTAATGACAAACAGATGAGAATGCTGCGTGCAGTCTGAGTGCTGTGTTGGCGGGACGTTGCGCGGGACGTTGCGCGGGACGTTGCGCGGCTCGCTGCTGCGAGGAGCGGACAGTGTGAGCTGGGTTCATTTTCCGCTTGCTGCGTGGGGTCTGCGAGACCGCAAGATATCGCGAATGGACGCGGGAAGGGGGTGCTGAGGGGGCTGCAGCACCCCCATCTGCGAGGCTCCACTAGCACCCGGAGATAGGAGTCCACTAGAATCTCCTATTATTACTTTTACTTTAGTAAACGATCTTAGTACTATTACCACGACATCATGCCCCATGTGTTTGTGTGTTTTTTGAAAAGTAGAGGTACAAAGAGTGCGTACCTGAGGCTGGAGCGGCGGTAACGATCATGGCTATCTGAGCTTGGAGTTTGAGCAGCTGACTCTCCAGCGCTGTGATCTTCTGCAGGGCGTCTGGTTGGGTGGTCTGCCTCACAGGACCCCCTCCTCTCTGGGCTTTACTCTGAGGCGGGTACCTCAACACTTCCCGATTTACAGTACTTTGCTTCTTCGGAAGTAAATGGTTCCTATGGAGATAATGCATCAGTGTAATATTTAACATACTTCCACTCAAAACATCGATAAATTTCTATGGCAACAATAGAGGTAAACAGTTTTCAAGATGCCCTTTAAGGAAAATGTTGCCACCAGAAAGTAGTGACCAAATTATTTTGAGTACGATAAAACAGCGCAGTTGATCTCACTAGCTGAGTGTTACACCTTTGTTTGGTGTAATAATGCAATAAACCACCGAACTTTTGAATTATTCTCTATATATGGTTTTCAGCACTGGGAAACATGACCTTGTCTGAGTTAGTCCTGTGTCTATTTGTGTCCGTACCTGGTCTTGGCGAAACTCTCCCCCTCATCCTCAAACACCCAGAGGACGTCAGCGAACGAGGGGATGGACTTTGAATCCACAGTCATGTCCACATAACCGTGCGGCTTATAGGAGAGCAGAGGGACCTGGGGACCAAATATGGACATCGTGTTCACTTTTTGACCAAACTCAAGTGTTTGCTCTGATATTTTTTCTCCAGTCAAGGTCACAGTGTAATTTATATTCTAATTCATGACTTTTCAAGGACTTTCAACTTTCCAGGCCACTTTTGTATATATTCAAGGATCCAACATGGCATAACTTGAGACACAAATAATTAACTGTTTCAACACAGAATTTGTAGACCGCAGAAAATTGCCTTTTTATTAACTTATACGTTATAATTTCAAGAACTTCAATTTCTATTCTTGCACAACATACTGTAGATGAATTCAAGCATTCTCTATGACACCTGTCTATGTATGTCAGTGGTTCTCAAACTTTTTGTGTCAGGCCCCCCCTTTGGAGAAAAGTTGGGCCCCCCCAACACAAATAGTCACGTAATGGGCCAAGTTAACATTTATTAAAATACATCAATATGAACGTGAGCATTCCTTTCAAAAAAATCACTTTGCTAGAACAGTGATAATAAAACAATGCTCCATAAGTCTGTGTGCTCAAAAAGATAAATACATAATACAATTGTGCAATTCCTTTGCTAGAACAATAAGTTATAATACTTTGCAATCTGTGCAAAAAAATGAAAAGAAAGAAAATGCTGATATTTGACCAAAAAGTGTGTCTTATCACAGCATTAGTGGCTGCAATGTTATGCACTGCACATTTCTTCAAAACGGGGTTGCGGGCTCAGTGGCAGCACCAGAGATTTTCTTTTGGGTGTGCTGTGGGGTAGCTTGACGTTTCATAGAGGGTGCTCAAACATTTAGGGTTTCCCATTAATGTACTGGGCGCTACAGTTTAATTTTCTACTGCAACACTCCACACGCATATACATAGTACACCCGCGACAGTTACAATGAAGGCTCGATAATCAGCTCACGGCATATAGGTGTAAGCAGGGGTAAAGTACTATTTTTATAGGTGGTGTGTGGACCTAACAACCTCTAGGGGGGTCTGGGGGCAAGCTCCCCCGGGAAGATTTAAAAAAAATATTGAAGTTAAAAGCATCAATCTGGTGCATTTTGAGAGCAACATGAAGAGATCTATGGATACATCTCTCAACACTCATATGAAACAGAACTGGAAACAGATTTATTTTTTCTTTATGGATATTTTACAAATCACTCCCCAGTGCACCTTTTTCTAACACTGCTCTACTTGTACTGTAGCATATTATTTTTGAATCAATAGTTTTTCAAATTACGATTTCTTTTTTTTGTCATAACAACTTTTCCTCCTGGTCTCTTGCACCCCCCCTGTCAGGCCTCTGCGACCCCACCCCCTTTGAGAAACACTGATGTATGTCAATAATCAAGGCCTTGTTTTCCCTCGATAAATTCACAAGCTACAAAAGTTTTCCTGGCACAACAATTTCCTTCGGGATGAATTAAGTCTTATCTTATTTGATGAGGTTATTTATCATTTTAGATAATCTTCCGTATGTTCAGAAACACGAGTGGTTCAGTACCTGAAAGTGGATGCGTGGTGCAGGGGTCAGAGGGAGGTTTGTCCCAATCATCCGCACGATGCTGCGATACTGACCGCACAGATCACTGTCCCACACTGGAACCAGCTGCAAGAAAGAAGACACACACACACAAAACAGTCTTGGTTCAAATGTGCCATCCTTCCAAGGATCCAAGACTCACTTGGTAGCTTTAAGAGAACAAAGGACCAATAAATGTGACACCTGACACCAAAAACACAAATACTAAGACCATAGTTGTAACAGTAGCGTTTGTGCACTCACCATGTCTGGAGGCACGCCAAAATACTCCAGGACGGCATGCATCAAATCCAGAATATCCTCGGCTAAAGACATTGTTAGGACTTTTTGAAGCACCAGCTGATGACTGCAAAGCTCCTCTTTCTGCTGACTTAACTTGGCGAGAGGCCAACACAGAATGGATGCCACTGAGTCACATACTTTACACCTGAAACCAAACATACAGCACTTAGGCTATTGAACAAAACACAGTAAAGTCGGTACTAAAATCCATCAAGAGATACAAAATGTTTTTGTAGTTAGAAGTTTGTCTTACCCTAACCCTAACATGAATAAAACAATAACAAAATCAAAACAACGTCCACTCAAATGCAAGAATTGAAGAGTGTGTTTTCATCTCAGTCTAATTCAAAATAACTTATTTGTATCTTTAGTAGGTTTGGCTACTGTAGTGTTTCCTTAATGGGAGGAGACAGCCGCAGCTGACTCAGAATGCTGCCGTTTGTCTTCACAGAGACCAATAAAGCAGACTACATCAGTCCAGCTCTTAAAGAGGTTCTCTGGCTTCCTGTGGTCAAATAAATGATATAATAGCCCTGTTGGATTCTGAATTGATCATATATATATATTTCAACTTTGGCTTCTGTTTTCTATTGTATTGTTATGTTTTAAAATGATACTGTATGTGCAGCTGAATGTGTGAATCAAAACAGGTCTTACATCGAAGTGAATGGTGTGTTAAATTGTGAGATTAGTCTTTAAACCTCCCCCACACACCTTGGCTTTAACTAGGTTCACAAGGAAACAGATGCAAACACAGGAAACACCCATTGTGGTTTCATTTCATTTCCACAGCTAGAGGCAATTAATTAAAAATAAAAAACTATTTCTATGCTATCAAACTTTAATTCCAGTAGCCCCTGGAGTCCATTATCAATGCAGCTTTTTGTGTCTCTGTTGACATCACACACTGATGCTCCGGTTGACCATAGTGTCCCCCTGTACGGCTGACTCGGCTGTGAGTCCATGAATTTAATACAATTGGATCAGCACAGCGGGTTCAGAGTACATTTTTGTTTTAACCTCAACAGAGTAACCTTTCTGTGTGGGGGGAAGTGCAGGTTCCCCTCACAGGCAGCGCAGTGTCCCACAGAAAAGAGGTAAAGAGGCTCGAAGTAAACTGCTATACCAGGAAACATGCGGTATAACGAAACTATATATCTACTTACCGTGGAGGTTTCTTGAAAAAACATGCACTAGGAGCTACATTTGTCCGACATCTTGATGTTAACCTAATATATCAACTGTAACTGCAGATAAACACTTCGAACGTGCAGATGTATCCCAGCTCACGAGTCCAAGCAGCGAGTGTGTGTGAAGTCAAATAAAGCCGCAGTAGCAAAAGCTCCTCTGATTGGATAGAAATACAGAACTAGTGTGAGGAGCCAATAGGAGCGGTCGATCGTGAAGCAGTGGCAACGGCTGCTCGACCAATTGCATGTCGCGAAAAGCCCAACATCAAATTTGTATTTTTCTGCACGAGCGTCTTCCTCTACTTGGTAAGAAACAACACAAAAACTACATTGTACCATCTATATTTCACTACCTAGACGCTCGTATTATCATGTGTTGAAGTATTGCATATTTGTGTGTTCAAATGATGAACATAAACAAATGAAAAGGGACTTTTGTTAAGTTCTGCAGCTTCTTCCCGTTTCAAAAGTTGCTAACTTTAGCTTATTTAGCTAGCCACAACGTTAGCTAGCACGTTGACCCCGACAGGACAAGCTTGAATCACTGTTTATAAAGTAGCTTCGTACCTCGAGAACCCAGCCTTAAATCATACGCTAGTAATGGTAACGTCATCCCACTTGATCGTAATATTTCCTCTGTTTTATAATTAGGCTAACGTAAGTCCAACGTTCGCCACACACACAACAGTTTGTCCGTATCAGGCTAACGGTAAAACACATTTTACTTGATATCCTCAGTTTCAGATCTGGTGGTTAACCGAAGTTAACAGCAATGATGGATGCTCTGTCGGTGGTTACTCAGCTGCGGGACCTGGCATCTGAACCGCAGAACCGAGATGTGATCGTCCAGGATCAGGGCTGTCTCCCCGGGCTGGTTCTCTTCCTGGACCACCAGAACACAGACGTGCTTTTTGCAACTCTTCAGGTGGGTGAAAGATGCTGATCTGTGTTGTACTGTCCTCCTGCCAAATATTCTTTAAAGGACCAATGTTCTCTAAATGTGGTGCATTTCTTAATACTTTTCTGCCTTTGTCCTCAGACCTTGCGCTACTTGGCTGAGTTGTCCCCCAACATCCCCACCATGAAGAATGAACTGGGTATGATGGTGAGCTTGGAGAATCTAATTGTAAGGTGAGGGATTATTTTGTACTCCTGTGCACTGTTTTTTTTTTAGATAAGAGTATTTTCTTGGCATGTAATTGTACTTGACATTTCCAGTGAGAGTAGTTTGAGCTGTCAACTGTAATGATTCCTAATGCTGTTTTGTTGTACTATCTTAAGTTTAAGCATATAATGATATGTACTTAAACACTAGAAGTGAATGGGAAAGCCTAATAGTTATCACCCTAACTGTAGACTCAGAATCGTGGGGGGCAATTCAGAGGTTTGGAACTAGGTAACATAAAATATAATATTTATTTATTTAGGCAGGGCCTGTCTGTTGACATCACGTCATTGGCCCAGGAGGTGTATGATATTCTGACTGCGCCTGCTAAACCCATCCCCCGCACGCCTGAGAGGGAGAGGAGAAAGAAACCCCAGTTCTTTATCAACTCCTCTCAAAAGAAGGCCAAGTCTGTCACTCTGCACATCAAGGGCCTGGACAGCACTGTGAGTAGACTGACCTACACAAGCAAGACCGTGACTATTATTATCAAATGCTGCAACTTATACTTTTTCTCTTATAGGACCAGCGAAGCTTGTGTGAGGAGGCTCTTCTGAAGGTCAGAGGGGTAATCAGCTTCACCTTCCAGATGACTACCAAGAGATGCACTGTCCGCATCCGTTCAGACCTGCCCACTGAGGTAACGCACCAACACATTAACTATCAGGGGCTGCTGAGGAAGAAACCAGCCTGTTCAAAAATGAGTCGTATTCCTGTAGTTGTAGTCAACATTTGTATTATTGCATTATCATAGCAACTTATGTACACATGGTGCGGGTGAACACTTTATATCTGATCTCCGCCTATTGTTTTTCAGAGTCTGGCATCAGCCATCGCAGCCACTCAGGTGCTGTCGGCCCAGCAGGTGGTGAAGAATGAGGCGGGAGAAGAGGTGAGTGGTGGTGCTAGATTCCTTATTTTGTTTAGCAGCGTTTTTAAGTATCCATACTATACACCTCAATTGTTGTCTTGGTTTCAAAATGTGTTCTTAAGTTCTCTCAATCATTTTTGTATCTACAGGTTTTGGTCCCTCTAGACGCATCTGGAGTGGACGTCCAGAAGAACTCAGCTATCCCAGACTACCTCCCAGAAGAAGAGGAGAGCCCAGAGAAGGAGGTGGACCGAGCGATTTCCCGCACCACAGCTAAAGAAGATTCCAGTGGAAGCTGGCTCAACGCCGCCGCCGGTTTCCTCACCAAAACGTTCTACTGGTGATACTGCTGCAGTTCAAATCCCAGAGTTGTGGAATACAGCTGCTGTGTATATAACTAGAGTGGACATCACTGGAGGTTAGCAGCCCTCGGGCTAACATCCTGCCTTTGTGAGGACTTCACCAACAGTCATCATTTGTTGTGAATAACTAGAAATGACCCAGATGTGCATAAGCACTTCTGGTTAAGCAGTTGAATATAGAGGATCACACACTTGAAAGCATATTTTGTCTCTGGACCTGCGTATATGCTGATTTCTATCCACTATTTTCATGAAGTGTAAATATTTTCTTTATCTTTCTTTTTCTCTAAACTGTCTCTACATGTAAGAAAAACAACTTTAAAGACTTTTTCTACTTTGACACTGATGGAAAAGTATTTTCTGTAAAAATGCTGTATGTTGCTAGTTATTTTGGTTTATGCTAAAATAAATCTGCTCCATGTTTTAAATGCACCATTTCTACTCTTATTCAGTATTTTGGACCAAAGAGGCAGTGAATCGTCAATTCAAAACATTTTATTTACTTGCCAGCAGTTGTACAGTGATCAGTTGTACAGTGGTTCACAGATCTCCCACAGCCCCTCTTCGTAGTAAAAGCTTTCCAGTTTTCAAAGCCTTGTGTTCTTAGTCAGTCTTAGTAAAATATATCAGCTTTTAAACATAATTTATAGGATATGTATGTATAACGTCATTTACAAGCAGTTTATTTTCAAGCTTTGACCACATTGAACAGAATGCCATGTACCACTGGCAGAAACCAGCACTACATAAACAATCTTTCTGGAGTATCCTTCCATTTTTGGTGGTACTGCAATATTATAACTAAGAGGAAAGTGCAGAGGTTCGAGAACCAAATGCTAAGAGAGTAGAAAGGACAGATAGCTTTGACATTTCATCACAGGCTTTGATATTCGTTAACATAAATCAAGCAGAAGTCACTGGAGAGTTATGGCATGTGTCCAAAGTGTCAAAGCTCACGCTGGGAATGCATATCTTCACTTGAGTGAGAGAGACAAGTGACATCATACTTGCCACGATGCGGTAAGGCAAAGGAACACAATTAGCAGCATTTCTTCTTATAATTCCTCAATCAACAAAACATTACATTATTTTAACATTACCACCATATTAGTTTAATTCATTTTGTATTTTTCTTGGCCAAAACAAAAGTCAGCGATGGGATAAATGTAAATGGTAAACGAAGGAAAGGGGTTTAACGACAAAGAAGATTTTTTCTGCTCCATTTAAAGAGTATGGAGGACAAAACAAAGAATCACATTTCATCTGTACAGCAATTAAATAAAACTAAACAAATCATTATTTTACGAACAGTATTTTCTTTTCGTCGTTATTTAACTTCATGATCCTCCCACGCCCACATTAATAACTTCCTAGTCTTAAACACTGTAGACACAGCAAAAATATATTACATGAGACTTTCCTGTAGTCATAATACAACTTCATGCACCGACTTCCTTCCTATATCTCTTCAGTAACATTTCAATAGAAACGTTGAATCATGAGGTTTCGGGTCAAAGAGACGCGTTAATGAAACCATGTCATTCGGAGCCTGTTGTGCGAGTTCCAGTTATAACGCCACATTATGTCCGATTACAGTGTTCTACAGTAGCAACAACAAAACATCTCTTCAAGTATCAGGGCTGAAGACTTTACAGCTGATCTCAGTTTACATTATTATTAATCTCATTCACACACATTTAGAGAGTCACAAGGGGGCATTCGATGCCCCTGTGATTTCAGATTCACTTCAGAATC